AATTAATTTATTTATTCCATACTTTGCGGACACATTGTATAAATTCGGTAATTAATCAACAAACTATTTCATTTTGCGGTCTCTTATGGCATCGATGAATTAGCTGTTCCCCAAATTAAAATTGAATATTGTAGATTCGATTATATCAAACACAGGAATGAAACTCCTAACCATGAATAGTATTCGAGAAAGTTATCCAGATTTTCATTAAAGTACAATTTAATGTTTGACAACAGTCAATTCACTTCACTTGTGGTTCTGTTCCCGGTTATCGACACAAATGAAGGCTTTAATTCAAACTTACCGATATCTATCGACAAACTGATGGAACTTCATCCTGATGGGATATCCCGACTGTCTGATCCTTATCGTATCCAGCATCCCCGTGTACCTGAGCTGTTCCAGGACAACTGGCATGTCGAACCTCATTGGAGATTTGTCGTCGTTCGGCTTGATGCATCGTATGAACCAGGGGTTGCACCTCGACATCGACTCCAGCAGTTGATGAAGGCTATCACCGAATCTCGCAGCAACTGGTAAAAAGTAAAGAACTATGTTAGTCGCTTCATGGTCGAACGGAACGATCGCCTTTTAGTTATCAGTTGGTCATTAAAGACAAATTTTACGATGACTTTAGAGATATAATATTTAAATGGCTGGTATTTCTTTACGACAAAAAGGTGATATTTATCGATTTATAGAATGGAAATGAAGTGAAATTTAAGTGTTTCACGTATACAATTATGTTAGATTATAATTTTAACGGACAGCTTTGATACAATATGAAATTCATAGCACCCGCACAACTTCATGATAAATATAAATGTAGGTATTGTCCAAAGTATTCATATTCGATTTATACTGTTTGTATCAGCCTCAGTTTTTTTATGTACTAACGTGTGACCACATATAATAATAATGTCTTCGTTCATTGAAGCTGGGATGATTCTGCAACCGTGTTAGGAATCACACGTAAGGTAAGACCTCGTTAGTAACAGATTCATCAACACAATGAAAATAAAATACAAAAATTCGGAACAGCAATTAAGTGTCGACTGGGTCAAATCGCAAGAACTCGGTGGCCAGTTCACATCACTCCATTGTGAGATGGACATGTCCTCAAATGGCTCGTGTGACACATAACGTTGTCCTATTGAAACCACATGTCGTTGGTGTTCAGAACATCCAGTTTAGGTCGAAAGAACCTATAGTGATGGCCTGGCCAACGTCGTTCTCGAAGAAATATGGACCGATGCCGCCGCCAGATCTTGCAGATCTTGCATTTCGTCGACGTACGAGTGTTGTTCGATCGTTTACTGAACCATTAGACGCAAATTTATCTACCACATCGCGGAGAGTTCTCTCAGTAGGACGATTATAACGACAGTGAAATAGGCGAAGCGCGCGGTAAGTTGCCCGAACAGAACACTCATTTCGATGAAACATGCACGTGTTGTTAAATGATATATCCATCTATGGTGATTTGCCAAAACAAATTGAATGAAGGAAAAACTAATTTGACAGATGTAGCTTCAATAAGATGGCCGTTATCAATTATCAAAGTTTGAAAGCCTTTTTATTGGAAAACCGTATACTTCTTTTGTTTTTTCACTATTTTCAAAATTATACATACTTCTACTACTAAGTTATATTGAAAGCAAAATCAAGGTTATCATTTGATAAATGAGAATCCTGGTCCAAAAGCATTGCGATTAGTGGTGTGACCAGAATTTTTTTCACACTTCATTGTAATAATAAAATGTACCAATACTGGTCAAGTACTCATTATAGGTCTGGCAATTCAAATTCCTAAAAACAAGGCAACCAAGTGTAATGCGATTGCATTGTGGTAAATCTATGTTTTCAGTGGTGTGAATTGAAGGGTAAGGATGCGTTACCCTTACTTCCATTCCATAGGATAGGTCTCAATAAAAACATACCATCACGTTTGGGTGGAAACTGTAGAGTTTTTTGCTGTTTTTCGATAAAAAATATGTGGAAAAAATGTTATATAAACAGTCAATTTTTTTACTGTACCGAAGATAGACACTACGGCCCAGATTGGGTGAATTGTATGGAGAAAAGTTAACACATTCATTAGTCATTTGTAGTGTACGACCAAAAGTTCGGTTTCGATTTCGGTCGAGTTTCGGCAAAAAAACGGGTTTCGATTTAGTTTCGGTGTCGGCGGCAAACCTGCCGAAACTACGACCGAAACAGAAACTGCATTCGGGAGTTCCCGAATGAGATCGGTGATGTTCGGCTCGTTAAATTTCATACAACTGATATTAGGTAACAACTCAAATAAGTAATTTTATGTTTATTATTTTTGAAAACCTATCAATAATATTAAAAAGAAGGAACTACACCTACTCAAATGAACACCTCACCTATTTTAAGTAATTTTTAAGGTGCAATTAATATTTTTTCTTAAATAAGGATTTTTTATGTTGATTATCAATAAGTAAAAATGTCGAAGACTGCATAACGTTGTGATTTGAAGATAAAAAAATAAAGACTAACTGATTAAAGTAACCTCTTCTTTATTTTTCCCTCAAAACCTAATCCTTGTAGGGGAGTTTCGGTTTCGGTCGAAACTGAGACCGTTGCCGAAATTCGTTTTCGGTTGTAAAAACCAGTTTCGGTCGGACACTAGTCATTTGTCATTTTTTCCATTAAAATTTTCATGAGCCCACATTGGAAGTTTCAAGATGAGTAGAACCAATTTTGGACCAGCATGTCCATAATTTGTGCTCTTATTGCCCATAATTAGTGTCACTTATTTTTGTTCTTTCACAGAATGGATAAAGCCAAACATGTTCAATACATTAAAGAATTGAAAAAGGGTGTACCTCACAGAGCAACAGACAAACAGAATGGGATTCTTTGAGCAACTCTCAAGAGAAACTTTCAGACACAAAGGAACAACGGAAAGACTAGAACCATATACTGAGTTTTCTGGGGAGTAGCAGCAGATTTGGTCAATAAAGAATTTCCAATGTGGAAAAAATCGTGTTCAATTTTGAGGAATTCGCCCGAAAATGTAATGTCAGTTTTCTTAAGGGTAGTATACCCTGTAAAAAGTGGTATATAGGCTTCCCGAAGAGCCATCCAGATATAAATAAATGAACCATGTATCCTACAACCGAATGATTTTAGAACACATGAAGAAGATGAAAATTAGCAAATGCTATTTAAAACCCAAATAGAATTTTCAACGCTAATACCTTTTTTCGAATCTGAAAACTGACAAAGTACTGGCAGAAAAGGGTAGCAAAACAGTTTACATGGCTGCTAAAATAACAAATGAAATTCAAATGAATTACTTAAAATAACAAATATATTTAGCTTCAACTAGACCATAATTGGTACATTAAATAGATATCTCTGTTTCTGTTTAAAATCTGTTTTTCCGTTAATCAGCTGCCGCCCCCATACGAACGACAGCTCTCAGAAGTTGAGAAACTTGTGCGAGCAAAGGACTAACGAGGTCTTACCTTTTAACGTGTGATTCCTAACACGGTTATACACGATATATACATTATATCATTAAAGTGTTTGAGATGGCTTCAAGTTTCATATTCAAATTCTGTGAAGTCATGAATGAACAATGCTGGTACAGTCATAGTTTTTTTTTATTTCTAATTCATACGTGATACGTAAGATCCTTACAACTCTTTATTACTTCCACAAAGAATAATGCCGAAGCGTGTACGAGCATAAAAATTAGAAAAATAGATGCTGGCTATATCAAATATGGATTTTTTTCATTGAACCATAGCAAGCATGGCTCAACATTTTGTAAAGTAAATGAAAATTATCAGGAGAATTTGCAGCAACGGTAAAAATTTGCTAAAGAGTTTCACTTTCTCAAAGAACCTGACAAATTTATTATAGACTACCAACTCATATAATCTGGATAATGAGCTAAGTAGATAAAAGGGGCGATACTACTAGAGAAATAGATACTCCGTCATAGCTATAGTAAGTTTTAGTACCTATTTCATCAACTATTCCGATTATGTCGTTAGGTATAATTTTTTTTCACAAGTAGGTATACTCATCAAATATTATATTCATCAAATTACTGACTCTGGTAGTATTCCACATAATATTATTTCTGTGGTACTGATGAATCTTGAATTAGGTATTCAGTTCCAAGAATGTCAGAGGAAAATGTTTGTTGAAGTAAGTCAAAAAAGTGTTGATGAATTTACTTCAGTTGGGAAAGATAGTATCAGCCCTGAATATACTCTCAAAGTATTCGTGCTATACATCCTCAAATATAAATCATCAATGCCAAATTGTGGGAATAACCCATTTTTTCTTCAATTTGATATATTCTAAAAGTTTCGTAATATTTAAGTTATCAATATTCGACTCAAAAGTTATGAGAAAAAAAAAACCATAATGAAAAGAATATCATCAAGTACTGCTTCTCAAATCTCGAAAGTTGAAAGAGGATGGAAACTAATGCTCATCAAGAAGTACAATCAAACACACTGTAGGTACAGCCGAGATTATTATTGCAACTGAGCGCCCTCACCAACGCGAAAGCTCTCAGTAACGCGTATCTAGTGAGCAGAAGCAGATCGAAATTCAGAAAGCTCTTCGTACATTTGCAGTTCATTGAAATCCTTGGAAAAATATATGCAAATGGCCATCAGTGGGGCGATTATTATATACTGCAATAATAGTCATATAACTGACATTTCGTTTTTTTTTCAATTTGATACTGTTCCTGAATCCTTCATTCAAGGTGAATTGAATTACCCAGATCATCCAATGTTTTCATTTTCTCCTTGAGTTGCTACCTCTGCCATTTCTGATTCAAATGAAAGTCCACTAATGGAAGACATCTATTTCGAGAAGTCATTTGAAGGGAGTGCTTCATGAGGAGTGAACAATGGGCTTTTTACTGAAATATCTGGCATGTAGTAATTCCTAAACAAGCCTCGCTTTGGAACAATTAAATGAAAATACTTTTTTCACTGAATTGATGACTTCAGAAGGCGAAGTAGATTGGCTTCTAACTCTTAGCCTCGCCTATTTCCATCTAACAGGGTACCTTCATTTTCTTTATGACTTCTTTACTATTTTCAGACTCCCGAAATCATCCAAAAGTTGGCCCATTTCCAAGGCATGTTGAGCGACACTTGACTTTTCTGGTCTCCATAATCGGATATGTGCTGCGTGTTTTTCGAAACAAGTTTTAATGGCTTGTATAGTCTAACCACCAATATATTTTTTGTCATAGACCCCATAGTCTATTCCATATATCATCAAATTTCCATTTTTCAACATCTTGTCATTAGGGTTACCTAACATTTGTTAAAATGAGCAATCTGCCCATGAACTGATCAGTTATGACACTGTCTACAGTTACCATTCTTTGCTATTTTCATATTCCGAAGACCATAAAAGTCTAGTGTCGCCCGATTGAATTATTTTTTTTTAAATTGTTGAGACCATACATTATACTGGACTTTTGGATGATGCCAACTCTAGATTCAGAGAAATATAGTATATGGACTTACCAGTAGGAGTTCTCGGTTTCATTGTAACGAAGCGACCGTTCGCTCCTCTTGGAAGCGTCCTAGTTTGAGCATAGTTCAGGAGTGGCTTGGCGATGGAACTCACTAAAGCGTCTTTACTTGACGCTAGTAATTCAACCACTTCCGGTCTCAATGCGTCACGGTTTTTGTCAAGGAATCCATCCACAGAATACCACACCTGTCCGGCAAAATGCCTTATCTGGAAAGTAGAAAAAAAAGATATGTAACTGTGAACTTGAATAGCATCAAATTTTCATCATGAATCAATAAATAACTGAATACAAGTCAAATTTTGACCTGTATTTAATTGAGTCATATCTGATTTTCTTTTTTTTAATTTAGGTCGATAGTGTTTGTTGTCCAAATACAATTGGGAAAATTTAAAATCGATAGCATTTACCGATATCAAAATTGCTTGTATTTCCAATTGAATCAGAATTTTTGAAAAAGCATTTCAAAACCAACTTAGAAGCTACGAAGTCATTCAAATATTTGATGACTGAAGAACCTCAAGTTTCCAAATGAAAATATTCTCTAAGAAGGTAACAAAACATCTTAGTGTTCATTGGAAAAGTAATATAGGTAAACCATTTGATAAATCTTAGAAAATAAAACTTCAAAATCAGTTTCAATTCAATAACTAGGAGAGAGACCGTCATCTGATGTATAATATGAACGGATGATTGGAAAAAATTATTGACAGAAAAGTTTTTCAGTTGATTCTTGCATTTTACACCGACAGTGGATCAGCAGACAATATATTTAAAATATTGTAGTATTTATGAAGTTGGAAAACCTTTAGATTAGTCATTGTTCAAAAATCTCCTGTCCAACTTGGACAGCAGAATAACGGAAAAATTGTTTGTTTTGAGTCAAAAATGTTCAGGTTGCAGTACAGATGTTCAGTAACAAAGCAAAATAAGTTGAAAATCAGTTGGATAAAATTTATGAATGAAAACTAGATAAAAATAAAACCTTGGGAAAAGTAGATACATATACTTGAAACAAATATACGAGACCAAGTGACAGAAATAAATCATCAATAATAAAAGAGTCAGATACAAATGTAGAAAACCAAAACACCTACCTGCAAATGAATTTTCGAAATAACCAAAATTCTACAAAGAAAGGTGCACAAAATGCAGAAAAAATATAACAGTACTGACACGTGATTAGAAAATCTACTGCATCATATCCTATTAGTTCCTCGATCACCACATGTCACAACTCAATGAAAAATGAATGTAAACATTGTAAATGTTCACATGAGAATAAGAATTTTTGCTGCATTTTGGATCTCACAATTTGAAACCTGGAATAGTGATAGCGGAAGATATATTGATCCCCAAAAATTATGTTTAGTATAGATGAAATATCTACAGGTTGATGACAAAAATGATAGGATGTCATAACGAATTTACCTATAACTGATGAGGAAGTGGAATTCACATTAGATCTGCTATTTGGATTCTCGATTCTTTATATGAACTACAAAAACTACGAAGTCATATGGAAGAAAACGGAGGTTGGCTAGAAAAAAATGAGGAGTTACCCAGAAGTCTACAATGACCTGCGGTCGATAGAAAAAGATGTTGGACTAAAAAATTACTAATGTTATTTTTTCCTATTGTAATTTTGAATCATACTAGGAAGAATAATGGTGAAATGGTGTTTCCATTTCAGTTGGAAAGGCTCGCTTTCGTCTGGAGCAGACTGAAGAAAGTGGTTAACGGAGTTCCTAATAGCGGCGTGTAACTAAATTCTTGAAATTCAGGAAATTCTGTTCGATTTCGAAGATATTTCAGTAAAACCTAAATTCGCTAATTTCGATAAATGTTCCTGGCATTAATCTAAATGATATCAGAATACAGAAGGTCTAATGTTACTATATCTTCTGGACCATAATGGACACAAAATACTGGTTTATACAGAAGGCCTAGTCATACTAATCCAGGGCACTTATAACAATATAGTAGAGGGACACGTGCAGCAGTCCCTGGATATTAAAACTAGATGGACCGAAGAGGAAGGGACATTTTTTTGAATAATATCTGACCAATGAAATCAAATATTCAACAACCATATTTTAAATTGAATCGTTTAATAATATGCTTCGCTCTTTGTCCAGCTATTTCACGTTGTGTTCGAGCAGTGTCATTTTCAACAGCTTCAGCTCAATAACTCAAAATGACTGTGAACAAGGAATTGTTTAAGAACACAAATCAGTAAGAATTACCCCAAACTCCCTTCCTCCCACTCTGGGTCGACAATAGTGTTCATTCAGAGCATGATTATAATGGCATTTTTCTAAAAACGAAGAATCAGAGGCTTTCGGGAAATTGCTCTCATCATCCAATAAGTGGAGAATTCCTACAGGTTTTTTGCCCAAGAGATGAATAACAGGTGTATTGTCAGCCCAACTCAGATTCGTCCATTCGAGTCGTTCTTTGGCGTACTCCTGTTGTTCTGAAAAAAAGAGAATAATATTGTGAATTCAGTTGTATATTTTTGTTTGGTTAATATTTTCCGTGTCAAGATCCATCACTTGAATATAAATGGTCGATACTTGATATAATTCATATTGAAACTTACAGATGAAAGTGAAATATTACAAAAATCGTAATACGTGTTTGGAAATTATTATCCATCAAAACATACAGGAGCGCAGAATGGCCACATATTTTTATTATTTGTTTCATGAAAATTCCGACATTGAAACACTAAATTTCAACGTCCAATTTCAAACTTCGACTTCAATCTTGGAATTATGACTTCAATCTCAAAATTGAGACTTCAATTTCAAAATTTTGACTTTGAACCCGAAACTTGGAGATTGAAATCAAAATTTCGAGTTAATAAATTAAATAAAGGTGAGACCCCGTTGGGGGTTGTGGCTCGTAGGGGGTGACAGCTGGTTATCGGAAAAACAGATTTCAATAGACAAATTCTCCATATGAATCTAGGTTTATTTTGTAGTTTCCACATGTTAGATTTCATTATTAACACATACAGTTTGATAACTCAGAATTGGGACCTCTTCAGTAAAATAAGTGTAGAAAAAGTGTATTTTCAAATCACACAGAATTATCCTGCATATAGAGAACAGGAAATATTTGAATTGAAGGGGTTATATTTTTAGGAGTGATCAATTTTTGGGAAAGAAAGTTTTTGGCTTTCTACTACTTCTTGATACAAAAAAAAGGATGAGGGAATCTTCCAAACAAAGGAAGGAAGTAATCAATTTGAAAATAAGTAACTCTATACATGGATGTGTAGATCATGCAAAGAAGTAACTTTCAGAGACAAACTGAAAGAAAGTCCTCCTGAAACAGTTACTTTCATATAAACATTGAATTACACGAAAGAGAAAAAATCTTTCGAAACAAATACTTCTATATGAACACTGAATTATACAGAAGATACATTTCTCTACTCAGTTTGTATTTCAAACATTCGTTGTGGAATAAAAATCAAATATCATTCACATGAGTTCTACTTTAAATGTTTTGAAATATTGTTTCAACAAAATAATGATCCTCCACATTATTCATAAACTGTGTGTAATTATTAAAAGAACAGGTATGGAGGTCGATGGATGGAACAAAGAGGTGATATTGAGCGACCTCCTGGATCACCCGGCTTGAAATCTTTGGATTTTGTTATGTAAACACATGAGAAACGACTTGAATCGCCCATGCAAAGATAAATCATTGAAGTATATCACGAAATGATATATCGCATGTGCTCCAAAAAATATGATAACAATTCGAAAATAACTTGTGAGAAGTTGGTGTACCACATTTTCAGCATTTACTTTTTTGAGTCGTTGTTTTAGAGTGAATTTCACATTTTTTAGAAAATGCATTGTGTAGG